CAGAAACAAAATTGTAGACCTGCACCAGGCTGGGAAGACTGAATCTGCAATAGGCAAGCAGCTTGGTGTGAACAAATCAACTGTGGGAGCAATAATTAGAAAATGGAAGACATACAAGAGCACTGATAATCTCCCTCGATCTGGGGCTCCACGCAAGATCTCACCCCGTGGGGTCAAAATGATCACAAGAACGGTGAGCAAAAATCCCAGGCCACAGGGGGGACCTAGTGAATGACCTGCAGAGAGCTGGGACCAACGTAACAAAGGCTACCACCAGTAACACACTACGCCGCCAGGGACTCAGATCCTGCAGTGCCAGACGTGTCCCCCTGCTTAAGTCAGTACATGTCCGGGCCCGTCTGAAGTTTGCTAGAGAGCATTTGGATGATCCAGAAGAGGATTGGGAGAATGTCATATGGTCAGATGAAACCAAAATAGAACTGTTTGGTAGAGACACAACTTGTCGTGTTTGGAGGAGAGAGAATGCTGAGTTGCATCGAAAGAACACCATACCTACTGTGAAGCATGGGGGTGGCAACATCATGCTTTGGGGCTATTTCTCCGCAAAGGGACCAGGACGACTGATCCATGTACAGGACAGAATGAATGGGGCCATGTATCGTGAGATTTTGAGTGCAAACCTCCTTCCACCAGCAAGGGCATTGAAGATGAAACGTGGCTGGGTCTTCCAACATGACAATGATCCCAAACATACCGCCCGGGCAACGAAGGAGTGGCTTTGTAAGAAGCATTTCAAGGTCCTGGAGTGGCCTAGCTAGTCTCAAGATCTCAACCCCATAGAAAACCTTTGGAGGGAGTTGAAGGTCCATGTTGCCCAGCGACAGCCCCAAAACATCACTGCTCTAGAGGAGATCTGCATGGAGGATGGGCCAACATACCAGAAACAGTGTGTGCCAACCTTGTGAAGACTTACAGGAAACGTTTGACCTCTGTCATTGCCAACAAAGGATATATAACAAAGTATTGAAATGAACTTTTGATATTGACCAAATACTTATTTTCCACCATAATTTGCAAATAAATTATTTCCAAATCAGCCAATGTGATTGTCTGGATTTGTTTTCTCATTTTGTCTCTCATAGTTGAGATCTCCCTATGATGCCAATTACAGGCCTCTCTCATCTTTTAAGTGGGAGAACTGCACAATTGGTGGCTGACTAAATACTTTTTTGCCCCACTGTATAATTGCTTACTTTGGCCCTGACTTCCAACACATTCGGGAGATGCAGGGGACTTCACTGCACCTCCTGGGATAGCTGGGAACACAAATTCCCAAGGGTGTGCGCTCCAGCCCATTGCAAAGGGAGCATTATTGTCACCCCATATCACAAAAGTGCCTACACACCTTTGTATCAGTGTCACTAGTTGTGATTTTCATGAAAACTAGAGATTAAAATACAAATAGGCTTTCCAAATGATATTGTCATGCATACGCTTATATGAGATGTTAGTGGTTGGGTTTACATGTACTTTAACAAGCTATACTTGAGTTCTTTGAATTGTAATGCCCTACCTGTGTGCACAGATTTGTACTCCCAAATATACAGTTGTGTTCAAAATAATAGCAGTGTGTTGAAAAAAGTGAATAAAGCTCAAAATCCTTCTAATAGCTTTTATTTCCATCCACACAAATGCATTGGGAACACGACACATTCTATTCCAAATCAAAACATGAAGAAAAATACATCAAATTTGTGTTGTTCCTCTAAAAAAATGGAAGAAAAGTGAATATTAGACGATTCAAAAAAATCGCAGTGTTTGTATTCTTCTTTACAAACTCAAACATTCGCTATATAAACCGAGAAATGTTTGAAGATTTTGCTTTCCTTTGAATGACTTCATGAATATTTGGTTGTAGTCGCACTGTTTCTGAGAACTGCTGTACATCTGTGTTGCATGGAGTCACCCAACTTCTGGCCCCTGTGATCAGGTATTCCAGCCCAGGATGATTGGACCACATTCCACAGTTCTTCTCTATTTCTTGGTTTTGCCTCAGAAACGGCATTTTTGATGTCACCCCACAAGTTTTCTATTGGATTAAGATCCGGGGATTGGGCTGGCCGCTCCATAACGTCCATCTTGTTGGTCTGGAACCAAGATGTTGCACGTTTACTGGTGTGTTTGGGGTCGTTGTCTTGTTGGAACTCCCATTTCAAGGGCATTTCCTCTTCAGCATAAGGCAGCATGACCTCTTCAAGTATTCTGATGGATTCAAACTGATCCATGATCCCTGGTATGTGATAAATAGGCCCAACACCGTAGTATGAGAAACATCCCCATATCATGATGCTTGCACCACCATGCTTCACTGTCTTCACAGTGTACTGTGGCTTGAATTCGGTGTTTGGGGGTCGTCTGACAAACTGTCTCCGCCCACTAGACCCAAAAAGAACAATCTTACTTTCATCAGTCCACAAAATGTTGCGCCATTTCTCTTCAGGCCGGTCAATGTGCTCTTTGGCAAATTGTAACCTCTTCAGCATGTCTTTTTCCCAACAGTGGGACTTTGCGGGGATTTCTTGCAGATAGCTTGGCTTCACATAGGCGTCTTCTAATTGTAACAGTCCTCACAGGGAACGTCACACCTTCTTTCATCTTCCTGGAGCTGATTGTTGGCTGAGTCCGCGCCATTTTGGCCTTTCTTCTATCCATTTGAATGGTAGTTTTTCGCTTTCTTCCACGTCTTTCAGGTTTTGGTTGCCATTTTAAAGCATTTGCGATCATTTTAGCTGAGCAGCCGATCATTTTCTGCACTTCTTTATATGATTTCCCCTCTCCAATCCAATTTTAATCAAGGTACGCTGTTCTTCTGAACAATGTCTGGAACGACCCATTTTCCTCAGAATTTCAGAGAGAAATGCTCTTTAACCAACATGTACAACATTTGCTGCCTTCCTTCCTTAAATAAGGGCAATAATTGCCACCTGTTTTTCAAAGAATGAATGACCTCACTAATAGAACTCCACACTGCTATTATTTTGAACACGCCCCTTTCAATGAGTGATTCAATGACACAGAATCAGCAGCATGCATGGCATGACTGTTGGGTCTGTTGGATTTCTATCACTCTACTACACCTGCTAGGAAATTATTTGCCATGTAGAAATATCATTTCTACCAAAAACTGTGATTGATCCGGTTAGTGATGTCTGACTGCTATTGTTTTGAACACAACTGTACTTTTAGGGACAAATTTTTGTCCGCACAACTTTACTAGTTTTTTTTTTTTCTTTTATTTGGGGCCTTTTGGGGGTTTTTGTAGCACAGACCCCTGACTGCTACTGCTATTTGTCCCAGGTTCTATTCCTGATTGGGTGCACAACAGTCAGGCACACAGCAGTTTCTCTGTCTTTCCACTTAATAACCAGGCAGAGTTTCTTTTGTGGGTTTATTGGTTGAAGAACTTGGATGGTGAATGGGATGAGCCTTGGGATACTCCAGAACTAGTGCAACATGAACTGTGCACACTAGTAAAACTAAGGTCTTCAAAGTAGGCCTGTAATAAAGGAGGATATGGACATACAGCTACAGGAGTACAGGGCAGCACAGTGGCTAAATGGTTAGCACTTCCGCCCTTGCAGTACTAGGGTCATTGGTTAGAATCCCAGCCACGGCACCACCTGCCTGGAGTTTGCATGTTCTCCCTGTGCCTGGGACCTTACATTGTACGCCCCTTGAGGGTTAGGTACTGATGTGAATGTACTATATATATATATATGTAAACTGCTGCTGCACTATATAAACACCTGAAATAATAATAATAGGAGTAGCCCATACTGGTAACAGCCCTGATCAAGCAACATTGAAATATTCTCTAACAAAAGAGGAAAATCAGCAACAGCCTCTCCAGGATCTCTCTCAGGCCTTTATTCACTGTGTCCCTGTATACATGGACGCCTCTTTCCTGTATCAGCCAGACCCTGTACTATGAGCCTCCCAGCCAGATCCTCAGCAGACTTTACTCCAGACTGTTCTCCCCTGCTTGGAACCAACTCTCCCTGAGCTGGGACTGTGTTGAACCATTTGCAGGCTCCACTGAATGGACCAGGAGGGCAGACAGACCCTCCCGGCCTGGTCTCTCTCCACCAGGCAAAGGACCCTGCTGTTCTAGGCCCCATACTATTTATGTACACCTTAGCCCCTTGTTGGTCACCCTCCCAACCAGGAATTGGCGGAAGCAGCATAAATATTCAGGCTGCCCATTTGGTTTCTCCATGCCTATGTTCCAGAACCACCCACAGAGTTCTGAAATGCAGGGAGGAGCAATCAAACGTGCAACCTTTGAAACCCAGAACATCCAGAAGTAATCAATCTGCTCCTCAGGCTACAGAGGAGCCCAAACTAAATTTGCCTACAGCTAGTAGCACCTAGGTAGGAGGGTGCTACGTTTATTTAAAGTACACCATTTTGCTGGGGTGATAACAGTACAGCGGGTAGTTGTTGCTGACAATCCTTTCCAGAGCTGCCTTTTTTCTTAGCACCTCACTTCATCCTTTGGCTGCGGGTGGCTGCGGGAGTGGGAACAGCTGCGATTCCTACAACCACCCGCAGTAGTTTGAACCTAGATTGAGCTCAGGAGTCACAGTTCTTGTGTCCTGAAACAATATATATTATTTAAAACATTTCAAAGAACTCTTTAACGCTTCTTTGACCTCAGCATTCCTAATGCTATATATCAGAGGATTTAACATAGGTATACCTATACTGTAGAAGACAGAAGCCACCCAGTCCTGATGTAAAGTGCTAGAGGATGGACGAAAATACACAAAGAAGACAGTTATATAGAAGACACTGACAGCAGTTATATGAGAAGTACACGTATTAAAAGCCTTGTATCTACCACGGGCTGATTGTATATTCAGAATGGCCCTGACAATATTGGTGTATGACACAAAGATGAGTATGATACTGCTTACGCTGACCAAACTACCTAAAATAATCAAAGCAATAAAGTTCTTGGATGTATCAGAACAGGATAGCTTGTAGAGTGGTGGAAGGTCACAGAAGAAATGATCAATAATGTTGGATCCGCAAAAATTCAGACGGAATGCGGCCACCGTGTGCACAAAAGAATTGCAAAAGCCTCCAAAATAGGCAGCAATCAACATCTGGAGACACAAAACACTGCTCATGTGAGCCTGGTATAGCAATGGACTACAAATGGCCACATAGCGATCGTAGGCCATGACTCCTAGAAGAAGACTTTCTGTACTTCCGAAGGACCCGAAAAAGAAAAACTGCATGGCACAGCCAGCAAAAGAGATGGCTTTGGTTTCACTTAGAAGGTCCGTCAACATTTTAGGCAGGACCACTGAGGAACATGAAAAGTCCACAAAGGAAAGATTGCTCAAAAACAAGTACATTGGCTTGTGAAGGCGTTTGTTTGCTATGTTTAGGAACATAAAGCCAACATTACCAACTACGGTTGTGATATAAACATGCAGAAATAGGACGAACAAAGGAATTTTCAGTTTGGCATTGTCAGTGAGCCCAGTGAGTATAAATTCTGTTACAGAAGTCCTATTCATCTCCAATAAATGTAAATGTTCTCCATCTGTTTAATAAGCAAGATAAATGTTGTGAATACCTGACCAAAGGGATATTCTGGTAAAAGATGCTTATTCCAATTCTACAGTGCTTTGTATTATTCATATCACCCCACACAGCACCTACAGTCTAATGACCCTACCCCAGTCTTCTATATTAATAAAACCAGTTAGTCTAGTTTATAGATTGAAGCCAATGAGCCTCTATTGGTTGTGTCCATGGGGTAACTCCATTTCCTTAACAGAGATTATATATTCAAGTTGATAGACGTACGATCAAACTACAGTGCCTCTTTGTATGCCGTCACTTCATCTAAAACAGTAGGGTATTTGATTTGGTCTGGTGTTATTAACCATTTGGATGTAAGCAGGGGCGGACTGACAACTCATGGGGCCCCCGGGCAATAGGGGATCATGGGGCCCTTGTGTCCTTGTCCAAACTCAAAAAAGCCTATGAAAAAGGTACCAGGGGCATCTCATGGGGCCCCTTACTGATTCCGTCACGTCATCTAAAACAGTATGGTATTTGATTTGGTCTGGTGTTATTAACCATTTGGATGTAAGCAGGGGCAGACTGACAACTCATGGGGCCCCCGGGCAGTAGGGGATCATGGGGCCTCTGTGTCCTTGCCCAAACTCAAAAAAGCCTATGAAAAAGGTATCAGGGGCATCTCATGGGGCCCCTTACTGACCCGGGACCTCGGGCAGCGCCCGAGTTTCCAAATGGTCAGTCCGCCCCTGGATGTAAGGTAAATAAATGAAATCGTATCCAGTTATATTGTTGTGCGCAGTACATTCCACCCCAATAGGCATTAACCTCCCTAGCGGTCTGATTATGTCCATATTTCTGTGCTCAAAGCGGGTACATTTTTTTGCATGGAAATATGTATTTTTTTATTGTAGGCCTGTAATTCTTAGGAATAACTCACTGAAATCTGTCCGAACAAGGGTCTAGTAAACATCCCGGGGATGATAAAATTTGAAACATGAAATCATAAATTGTAATATAATAAATAATCATAAAAAATAATAATAAATGTAATTCAATAATATAATCAAACCAAAAACACTGAAATGTGAAATAGAGCGCCAAGTTCGCACATCGCTGAGCAAAGTCGCAGAATCGTTTTCAGTGTCTGATGAGGAATTTCCCCCACGAATCATTATCACTCAATTCTGCAAGTGGTTCTGATTTACTATCGCTGTTCTCTAGCCGGTCTAAAACCGCTTTTGACCTAAAGGGACGCTTTTTGGACACCATGGACGTTTCTCAGTTTCCAGGCAGAAAGAACAGTAAAAAATGCAGGCAGGACAAAGCACTCGGGACAAAATGTATGTGAAATGGTTTGATACAGGAATGTTATACGATGTGATTTTAGTGTATTTAGTGAATGTCACTTTTTGACATTTTTGAATTTCCTGCCAGTTCTGTCCGCCGTACGTCCCGACGTCGCAGGGAACGGAACCCGGAAGACGGATGCCAGCGAGAGATGGCTGGGGACGCTGCAGGGGGGACACCGTGGGAGCGCAGGACAAGGTAAGTGCTAAAGGGATCACCGGAGAAGCGCTGCAGTGTATTCCCGAGTGTAGCTCGGGGTTACCGCTTCTGGTACTGAAAGTTAACCCCGAGCTACACTCGGGAATACCACCGGGGGGTTAATTACAGCTCGGCATACATTTTTTATATATTTGAATAAAGGTTATATATTTGAGATTCATCAATTGGCCAGATGGTGCATAGGGAAACGCACCCTCGTCCAGTATAGATTTGTTTTTTGCCAAAGACGATGATTTACAATTAGGGCTTAGTTCAATGAGCCTCTTTTTTTGGAGTTGTGCGATAAATTGAGAGCACCTAGAAAAAATAAATCATCTAGTGCCTTGAGGGTATTTCACACTAGATGCAGTCCAGTGCGGTTTTTTTCTGCATCAAAAATGCATGCACAGTGTTTTCCATGTATTCCAATGGTCCTAGTTCACACCAGTGCAGAAAAAAAGTAGAACATGCTGCATGTTTTTCTGCCCAGAATTGTACTGGAACACAGCAAAATGTATCAGAAACACATTGGAACGGAGTGTGGTGTGAACTGTAAGCAAAAACGCATCCGAAACGCATCTGGACTGCATTTTTGTGGTGTGAACAGGCCCTAAAGGACGCTAAACCCAGCAATTTAGGGCAGCAGACCTTGTGTTACCTGCCAAGGACATAGCCATCCTAATGAGTGGCATATATCAAACTGAACCAAAAAAAAGTTGCTAAAAAAAAAAAAATTAATAAAAATCACCCTGCTAAAAAAGGAATGTTTTTATTTTTTTATTTGCCTGCCACCCATTTGTCTAATCTTCCATTTCTTAAAGAGCTACAGTTGCCAAATGTACTACTGGAGCTCAATGGATGGGGTGGACCTGCAGGAGTATTGATCATCCCAGAAGAGACAGACTAGCTATGGGAAAGGAGAGCAGGAGAACGCATAACTGAGTTGCTGTCAGGGGCCTCTTAGAATATCAACAATGGACATAAGAATAGAGAAGTCTTTTCCAGTTTGCTCAGTGGCTTCAAATTTATGCTGCCACAAAAATGCATCTCAAAAGCCTACAGAAGATGAAACAGGGCAAAGCTGAAGTCCCTAGGCAGATACAATATTCAGAGTGCAACTGTCACAGATCAACCTTCTGTCATATCCATTTAAATGGTTGGTGGTCATCAGCATCAGGATTGGCTGTTTGGGGTGTAATCAACCATCAATTAGTTGGTTGGAGATCAACCATCTCCGATGCATTGACCCCTTTGCCTGATGTTGCTGATTCTATTGCCTACTCTTTGGGGTTGATTTACTAAGGGCAAACCCACATGGAAGAAAAAATATATTTTACATAGTTACATAGTTAGTCTGGCTGAAAAAAGACAAAAGTCCATCCAGTTCAACCATAAAAAAAAAGTTATAATCCTACACCCACAGTTGATCTAGAGCAGTGGTTCTCAACCTTCCTAATGCCGTGACCCTTTAATACAGTTCCTCATGTTGTGGTGACCCCCAACCATAAAATTATTTACCCAGCAATTATAATTCATGAAGTGTCGTTTTACCTCCAATACTGCTGCTTTCAATACAGTAGCTGCTTTTAACAGAGTAGCTGCTTTCAACACAGCAGCTGCTTTCTACACAGTAGCTGCTCTTTACACATCGGAAATATGTGTTTTTTGATGGTCTTAGGGGACTCCTGTGAAAGGGTCGTTCGACCCCCAAAGGGGTCGCGACCCACAGGTTGAGAACCACTGATCTAGAGGAAGGCAAAAAAAAAAAAAAAAAACCCAGCAAAGCACGATCCAATTTGTTCCTGCTGGGAAAAAAATTCCTTCCTGATCCCCCAAAAGGCAATTTTAAAAATATTCTTCCCAAATATATTGACATATATTTTAAATACTAAAATTTTGCCCGTATTCAATATATATATATATTTGTTGAAATGCGTTTTTTATATATTATAAAATATATGAAAAATATTTTTAAAAATATTTTTTTTAAGTATATTCTTCAATTTTTTTAACATATAAAAAAGTAATTTTAACATATATGTTTACATATATTTATAAATGCATTCCAAAAAATGTAGATTAAATGTATTTTTAAAGACATACAGTATATTTTAAAATGTATTTTTAAAAATACTTTTCATATATTTTGTAATATATAAAAACACATTTCAACATACAGTATATATAATATATATATATTAAATATATTTTGAAATATATTAAATACGGCTCAAATTGTAGTACTTCAAATATATGTCAATATATTTGGGAAATATATTTTTAATATATATTTAAAATATATTTTTCTTCCATGTAGGAATAGACTGTGCATTTTGAAAGTGCAGTTGCTCTAGTCTAGAGCTTAGTAAATACAGTGAAGCTTCACTATGTAAATATGCACTAGATCAGCAATGGGCAAACTACGGCCCGCAGAGAACGTGAGGGGAGCTAGGCTCCTCTCACAGTCCGCCCTGAAGACCGGTGTAGCATGAAAATCTGTCTCCTATGAGGATTTGTCCCCCTCGACGTATCTGCGCATGTGCCGGAGATCGCCGATCGGCTGCTAATGCCTGAAACTGGCACATGCGCAGATACGTCGAGGGGGACAGATCCTCATAGGAGACAGATTTTCATGCTACACCGGAACGGCGCGGGAACACGGCGAGAGGAACACGCGGAGCAAAGGTAAGTGAATTGACATAGGGGGGACTTGGGGACTTAATATGGGGAATGAATTACTATAGGGGGATGAATTACTATTACATTACATTACATTACATTGAGTTTATATAGCGCCAAAGGGTTTGCTCAGCGCTGTACAATAGAGGGGGGGACAATACATGAAACATTACAGCAGCTACGAACAGCACACGAGGGGTAAGAGGGCCCTACTCTTTCGAGCTTACAATCTGGGAGGGAGGGGGTAGTGGTACAGGAGGAAGTGGCTGTGGGGGATGGAGTGGTAGGAGGAATGAAGGAGAGCAGCAGTTAGGTGAGGGTGGGGTAGGCTTCCCTGAAGAGGTGGGTTTTCAGGGAGCGCCTGAAGGTGAGGAGGGAAGGTGACAGTCTGATGGATTGGGGTAGTGAGTTCCAGAGGATGGGGGAGGACCTGGAGAAGTCTTGCAGACGTGCGTGTGAGGAGGAGACCAGGGAGCAAGATAGAAGGAGGTCCTGTGAAGAGCGAAGGGTACGGGTAGGGTGGTACTTGGGAATCAGGTCGGTGAGGTAGTTAGGGGCAGTGTTGTGAATGGCTTTGTAGGTCAGAGTGAGTAGTTTGAATTTGATGCGTTGGGCGATAGGGAGCCAGTGGAGGGAGAGGCAGAGGTGGCAGAGGTGGAGCGGCTGGTGAGGTGGATGAGTCTGGCAGCTGAGTTCAGGATGGTCTGAAGCGGGGAGAGTTTGCACTGGGGTAGGCCAGTGAGGAGGGAGTTGCAGTAGTCAAGGC